CTGTCAGGGCCTGCTACCTGGCACAACTACCAAGTCACTGACCCTCCCTAAACCTCAGTTTTCTGATCTGTAAAATGGAACTACCTACAAATATTAATAGAATAAATATGAAATTAGCTTGTAAAGAGGAAAGTTGGGTGCAAATATTGTATTGTTCATGTTGCTATACAAATTCGAAGTGGTGTGAGATTTGGGTCATGTCTGGGTTATTCTCCTTTACCAGTGAAGAATTTGAGGGCAATCGAATCAGGCTCTTTTATGAAACTTAGGACCTTGCGTTGGAGACAGCAACACCAGTTTTGGCACTGAGAAGCTGTTCTAGGTTAAGTCCTTTATCATATGGTTCCAGGGCAGACAACAGGAGACCCTCATGGGATGCCACCTTGGGCCCTGCCAGGTTCTAGAATGGGATCCATCTGTCTCATTCTCTACCAGCTGGCTCTGTCCTCCCAACATGCTGAATGAGTGAGGAGCTGAGCCTTCTGCCCGGGAAGAAGGGTGTGTTCCTGACATAATTGAGGGACAGCATGTTGACAGAAGCAGGGAAGGCCGTTTCTGTGACATGCGGATTTACTGTCCCTCACTAAACCTTCCTACGTGACTTTTGTAAGCTAGCCTCAGGCATAGAGTCCCACCTGCCCATACCTCCTGCCTTTGTACAGTGCTGGATGGTAAAGTTTTTTCATAGATATTATTTCCTGATTTCTCCACCAACCCTGTGAGGTAGACAGGCCAGGTTTTCTCATCCCCATTTGGCCAGGGTGGAAACTGAAGCCTGGGGAGTTGAACAGATTGCCCAGGGTCATTGCCGGTTAGTGATAGGGCTCTGACTAGAACACAAGTCTCTGGACACCAGCCCAGAGTTAGGAATTTGGAGAGTGAAGAGAAAGCCCTCATTTCTGTTCAGTTGTCTTAGGCTCTTTGGCACTTTCTAACAAGAAGCTTTCTGAAGTGAGACCTCAGGTGGCAGGCGGAGAAACACACCTGGCGAAGGCAGTCCTTGTCTAAGCCCATGAAACTCTGAAGCCAGGTCTGGACCAGGAATCAGGCATCCTGACCACCAGCCCTTTGCTGCATTAGGCCGTGGGTTAGGTATTGACTGTTGCTATGATTTGGGGAGGGAGGATTGGAATATACGTGCTTTGCGTATGTGTATCACTGTTTCAGCGTTCCCATAATTTTTGAATTAGTGTTGGCAATGACCTCCATTAGAGATTGGATGGCTCCTCTTTGTAACCTGCCTGGATGATGCCCTAGGTGGCTCTGTCCTAGCCTTAGAGGAGTCCTCACTCTCTACCCTTTGCCCCAAAGCCTAGCTGGGCAACCTCTGAACAGTGGAGCCTGAACATTTGGCTTTGGAGCCTTTCTTTTGGGCAGACAAAGGCCCATCACTGTCACTGTTTTCACCTGTCCTCGGGTCTGTTGATGCCATCTGAAAGGCATAATAAAGCCACCTCAAGTCTAACTTTTGTGCATCTGGGTACAGTGACCCCAGGGCATGCCTGAATGCAAACTTCCACACCTGTTATCCCCCAAAGCCCAGGGTAACCTTCTGTCTTGATTTGCAGGTGCATATTGGGACAGTTAGAGATGTTATTGCTGACCCCAAGCAAAAACTGCTGGTGGGAAAGACAACATTGCCTTTCTGCTTTCTTTTCTCCTCCCTCCAAGTGTCATATCAAAGAACTAAGGGAGAGGGTAATACTGAAAAGGAATAATGTAACAGCTGTGTAGTTTCTTCATTTGTAAAGTGTAAAGAGGTGATCAGATAACTGTTGTAAATTGGTGTTTCTCAGCCCTGGCTGGTCCATCAGAGTCACCAGGGAGCTTTAAGTCTTCACTTAATGTCATCGATAGGTTCTGCAACTTTAAGCAAAACTACATATAAAGAAACCAATTTTACCATAGGCTAATTGATATAAACAAGAGTTAAATTCTAACAGCATCTCATTTGCTATAACAAAACAACATTATTCGAGGACCTGCTATATCTGATTCCCAAGCTGCAGCCCAGACCCAGATCAGAATCTCTTGAGATGGGAGCCAGATTCCAGTAGTTTTCAAATTCCCCACAGGATTCCAATGTACAGCCAGAGTTGAGAACCACTGCTCTAAGGATTAAGAGTTGGCTAATTGCTTAGGACAGAGATATTCCTACAGCTGGTTGTGCAGTGGAATCATCAGGGAGGCTTTTAAAATTACACTGATTCCCTGGCCACACATTGCAGACCATTGAGATCAGTAACTTCTGTGTCTAGTGCCTCCTGTTCAGCCTGCACATGAGATACAAACTAGTAGTCATAATAGCTACCATTTATTAGTGCTGACTGTGGGCCACCATTACGGATATTTCCAGTCTTCACAGTTCCTATTTTACAGATGAGGAAATTGATGCTCAGAGCAGGTAACTTCTTGCCCCAGGTAGCAGCATAAGTTTCTGAACCAGACCTGTCTGACTTGAAGCCTGATCTCACCGTCCAAAGCCTTATGGCCTGTGGGCTGGCCCCAGTGGGGCATATTCTCCACTCTTCCCAGTAAGAGCCCAAGGAGAGAGGAAAACCAGCAAGTGGCCTTGGCTCTCCTGAGGCTCCCCAGGGCTGGTTGAATGGAGGACCCCACCCCAGTGAAGAGAGGGGAGATGAGTGCTGTGCTTGGTATTTTGTTCCATGTTAGTCACCAACTCTCAAAATACCTCTTTTTGCCTGGAGGAAGATGCCTGCACTTTTAGCCTGACTCCCAGTCACCTCTCATTGCTGCAGCTGCTCTCACAAAGAGAAAACTGGGAAAAGCAAACAGTCATTTGCTTTTTGAGAGCTAGAGGAATTTTTCAGGCATGCGATATAGAAAAAATGCCTTTGTTTCCCCTATAAGAATAGGGGAGGCTATGTCAAAGTCACCTGAAATGTTTAGTTCTACTTTATAAAAACCCTTCGCCTCCACCTCTGTGCTTAAACAAATTACTTAAAACCTTTAAGCTTTGGTTTCCCCACCATTCAGCTGCAAAGAGGGAGCCCTGTCTGCCCTCAGGACTGCAGATGCCAGGCTCTTGAGGTATCAGAGAGAGAGGAGAGAAGCATGCCCATCCTGACGCTGAGACTCACAGCTGCCTGGACTAGAAGCTTTCATCAAGTGTTTGCTGGCACCCACTAAAGGACCCGATGTCCCCGAGGCCCAAAGTGGTTCCAAGTCACCAGCTGTGTTAGGGATCTCACTGAATGTGTTCACTCTGGCTTTGGGAGGCCTGGCTCCACTCCAACTGCGTCAGCCCCTAGTGACAGCAGAGAGGCAATATTGGGCATAAATAGCTAATACTTTAACATTAGTGTACAATGTAATATAAATTTGGCTCTGCCAAACTTTCCCTGCCCAGCCCAGCCCCCAGGACCCTCTTCCTCCCCAGACCGCCCTCTGTACCTGTTATCTGGGCCTTTGGTCCCTGCTCCTTACTGCCCAACACAGAGCCTGGCACAGAGCTCAGTCAGCATTGAGTGAATGGAGGATGAGGGAGTGGAGAGATACACGAATGTGTGTGTGGTGACATTTCTCAGATGGTTGCTGTAGAATGCCGTTTATGTGTTAGTGTTTTATTCCTTGTTTACTTGACTTTTTTTTGTTGTTGTTTTGGTCACTTAGGTCTATTTTGAAGGTTGTCTCACTGAGTGTTATTCTAGTAATAGCATGGTTCAGATGTGATGCTGTTTTCTGAGGCTGAGGCAAATCTCCAGAGCATTTCATTGTGTAGCTCTTATCCAGAGCCACTAAGAGAGTATTCCCTAAGTGTGGAGTCTGGTAGCCTCTTAAGCCATTAAGCTGAACCTTAAAACTTTTTGAGTTCTGTCTCAAGCAGTCAGTAGGTATTGTGGGTGGTGAGCATGGGGCAATGGTAGAAAATGGTGGAAGGGGAATGGGAGGACCCTCCAGGAGGAGTAGCCACTGGGCGGTCTCCAGGGACTTAGAGCAGCTCCCACTGATTGCCTGAACTGAGAATGTGAAGCAGAGGCTGCTGCCCTTTCCTGTGCGGTGGGATGCCCCGGGAATATTTGGGGAAGCAGTCTCAAGGCCGCCGGCCGCTCTGGCATGGACACCATTGTATGGATGCTGTCTCGGTCCCCAGAGTGAAGGATTTCCAGGTGCAACCTGACTCCTGTATCTTATAGGCTTTGTGGACAGTGGTCTAGGTGCCCAACTCTACGGTCCGGCTTTGCCATTAACTCTGTGATGATCTCAGGTGAATCACTTGACCTCTCCCATGCCTCGGTTTCCAAACATTTTACAACTCTGTGGTCCCATCAGCCTTCTTGAACTTCCACTATAGTTACTGACAGTGTTAGGCTGCCTCCACCCTGAACAAAATCCCTACCAACCCAGCCTGCATAGCCTCTAGCTGTCTTTACATTAACTGCATCATCCTCATATTTGTTTGGTCCCCCTATTGTCTAGCAGCTTAGCTCATGTCAGGTAATTGAGATTTTTATTTGTTGGGAGGGGGTTAGGAGCAAAGGTGCAAGCATGAGAATATAAAGGTTCTTGTTATCTCATTCCAAATGGATGAATTTGTGCTTGTGTCCAGATAGAGATGATTGTTACCGTTAGTATTTTGACTGTGCCAGTCTTTTTTTTTTTTTCCTTTTTAATCTTTCTGTTACATAGTATAAGCCTCTGGACATTGTGATTTTATCTGGCGAGTACTAGACTTAGGTTCTAGCTGAGGCTTTGGAGACAGGTTTTGTCATTCTGAACAAATCAATAACCTTTTAGAGTCTCAGTGTTCACATTGATACATGGGGAATGACATTCCTTCAGGATTCACATGAACTGCGGGGAAGCCCAGTACCTGCCCCACCTCAGCCACCGGTTGATGGCCAGGTGGGGATGCTGGCTGGTGGCATGATTTGTCCTGCCTTGGCTCTGAATTAGTGTGGCCTGGGGGCCAACAGTTGGGTCACTTCCCTGATGTGGCCACAGTGACACCTTAATTGTGTGAATCTGTGTCCCCACAGCGGCCAGTTTGCCATCGTGAAGAAGTGCCGGGAGAAGAGCACTGGGCTGGAGTACGCAGCCAAGTTCATCAAGAAGCGGCAGAGCCGGGCCAGCCGGCGGGGCGTGAGCCGGGAGGAGATCGAGCGGGAGGTGAGCATCCTGCGGCAGGTGCTGCACCCCAACGTCATCACGCTGCACGACGTCTTCGAGAACCGCACCGACGTGGTGCTCATCCTGGAGCTGTGAGTGGGCTGCCGGGACCCATGGTGGGCAGCAGGGGCAGGCAGGGCAGTGGAAGCTCCTGCCACAGGCCCCAGAAGGCAGCAGCAACCAGACCTAAGCTTGACCCAGAGGGGATGAAGTCAGTGGTGGATGGTTTCCCTCAGTTACCCCCATCCTCCTTCTGAACCTGGGCCAAAGCAGGGGTGGGCTTGCAGGGGCAGAGGGTAATGGCTTTCATTGGGCTCTGGAGATCGAAGGAAAGACATGGCTGACGCTGGGGTCATTTCCACAGGTTAGCAAGCATGTGCGAGGATGGAGGGAGGAAGGGAAGAGGAGGGAGATGGGGAGCAGATGAGACTGTTAAGGAGGGGTCTGTTCTATGACCAAGGGAAAAACAAATATCCTTCAGGCTCTGTGAAGCCCTTTGCCAGCCTTTTCCTGGGAAAAATCTACCTCATTTGTACTGTGATGTCTTTATTGTTATAATAACTACTATTTAGAGAACATTTGCCAAATACTTCATGTTTGTTATCTGTTCAGTCCTCACAGGGACTGTGATGAGGGAAGTGTCCTACTAACATGGACGTTACTTTGTATTTACTATGCCAAGCACTTCTCTTTCTTCATTTACTCTTAATAATCCTATCACACAGAGATTCTTCTTATCCCCATTTACCAATAAGAATCCTAAGAGGCCAGGTCACTTACCCGATCCACTAGCCAGGAAGTGGTAGGGAAGGTGTTACCAGACCAGACCAGGCCCAAACTCTCAGTAGTTGCCAGCCAAAAGGTAACTGTGAGATAATTTTATAAGAAGGAAGTTTATTGCAAGCCTGCAAGCAAGGACCATACCAAGGAATGCTCCCAGAGCAGTGTGTTCCTTGAACAAAGCATCTGATCCATTTTTTTTTCCCGTTACCAGATTTGCATGTTTTGGGGTTTAAAATTTTTTTTTATTATTATTTTATTTATTTTATTTTTACTTTTCAATTACAATTGACATTCGCTATTAGTTTCTGGTGTATAGCATAGCAGTTACACATTTATATAACTTATGAAGTGATCCCCCCAATAAATCTAGTATGCACCTGACATTTTGCATAGTTATTACAATATTATTGACTATATTCCCCATGCTGTACTTTATATCCCTGTGACTATTTTGTAATTGCCAATTTGTACTTCTTAATCTCTTCATTCACCTTTTTCACCCAGCCCCCCAATCCCCCTCCCACCTGGCAATCATCAATTTGTTCTCTGTAGCTGTGAGTTTGTTTCTGTTTTGTTTGTTTGTTTTGTTTCTTAGATTCCACATATAAGTGAAATCATATGGTATTTGTCTTTCTCTGTCTGACTTATTTCACCTAGCATAATACCCTCTAGGTCCATCCATGTTGTTGCAAATGGTAAATTTTCATTCTTTTTTATGGCCAAGTAATATTCTTTATCGAATCACCTATCGAAGGACATTTGGGTCTTGTTTTCGAATCCATTCAACCACCCTATGTCTTTTGATTGGAGCATTTAATCCATTTACATTTAAAGTAATTATTAATAGGTATGTAGTTATTGCCATTTTATGATTTATATTTTTTATCTTTTTTTTTTTTCTCCTTAAAGAAGTACCTTAACGTTTCTTGTAATACTGGTTTGGTGGTGCTGAACTCCTTTAGCTTTTTCTTGTCTGAGAGCATCTGATCCATTTTTACTGGGGGAAATCATGCATAAACATCACGGTGGGCTTTGTCATTGCATGTATAGGTGGGGACATTCCCGTGCATACATAGTTTGAAAACATGGCTCTACATACATTGCATGCTCAAAAATGGCAGAGAATCTCTGCCTTTGGGTGGAGATTTTGGTATTATAATGAGAGTAAGTATTTATATAATACTATTATATACTATATATAAGTGTATATATAATACTGTAAGTTTAGTATTATAATGAGGAAAGTTCATGAGGTCACTACAGGTTCCTTCAAGGTGCTTCAGCCGGTCTCTGGCAGTTTCAGCCAGTTCATCGCTGGTCCTACAAAACATCCTGGGTTTGTTCCTGAAAAACAGTTCTGGCAATCATCAATGTCAGGGATTGCAGTTATGGAAGGAATTTTAGCTGATTTTGTCTTGGTCTTTCTGTGAAACATTTAGCAAATTACAAGATATACATCACACAATCAAAGTGGAGTTACAGGTTAGTCAAGGCAAAGTCCACACTGCTTGAGCAGACAGCTGTGAGCGTGAGGTAGGATGGCTTTATGCTGGCCCAGCCTGGTGGAATTTGGATGTGACACCAAGTTCCCAGGGACTGTCTCTCCTGGAGGTATCTCCATGGGATAGGGAGAGGTGGGCTTCAGGCAGACAAGAGAGTTTGAGTTCAGCTGTGGCACAAGTCACAATGGCTTTGTCCAGTCATGCAGCAAGACACCGTGTTGGGAATGTTCTGCACCTCACAGGTGTGTATGCGTCTGCCAGTTAGCAGAGGAGAGGTGGCATTTGTCTCAGCAATCTGTGACTTTGTGACCTTGGGCAAGTCACTTCATCCCTCTGAGCTTCAGATCTCATCTGTAAACCAGGCAGCCATACTTAACCTGCCTACATGGGGCACGGACCACCTGGAATTTGAGCTCATTCTAATTTGAGAATTATGTTCTGATATTGCCAGGATAGAGCTTTACGTGGCAGATGGGCATTTGCATTTTCTTGCATTTATTCTTAAATTATCCATAGAGTTGCCTGTGCTTTCTCTTTCTCTGACTCCCAGTGTCCTCTGTGTTTCTCCCATGGACCACAGCCAGGTGAACTGGTTGGTGTATGCACCTGCCTGGCCCAGACAAGCCTGGTGGGTTTCTACAGTGTGGCCAGCTATGCGGACAGCCAGAGTTGTGACATGCCCCGAGGCTAATGGCGAGCAGTTGGCACACTGATTCCAAGCAGAGAGTGACAAGCCCAACTTCACTGGGAAGGCCAGGTCACTTCTTTAAAAACTATTATCAAAAAAAATTTACAGGAATTTCTGAAAAGAAATTACATTCATAATCCTACCAACCAAATACAGCTATTTATGTGGGTTTTTTTTTTGGTGATTCCTCTCAGTTTTTATTCTATTTATATAGAATTATTGTATTTCTAAAATTTCCTGCTCTACTTTTTCCCCAGTTAATATAATTTCATAAATAGCCTTTTTTTCTTTTAACTGACCATATCATATTTCATTGAATTACATACCCATCTTTCCTTTCTTTGGACATTTTTTTCCCCCAGCTTTTATCCAGTAGAAATTTTACTGCCATAAAACAACTTTCTTCCCATAAATTTCCCCTTTTCTTTTGAATTAACTTTTTCAGATAAATCCTCAGGAATGGGATAACTAGGCTGACATTTTTAGGGGTCCTGATAGCCGCACTTTCGTAGGATGGTGTTGGTTAACCAGTACCACCTGTAACATAGCAGCATTCCTATTTGCCTTGCCAGACCTGGGTCATTTGTTTTAAAATAAGGTTCTTTATTTATTGACCTATATAGTTATAAAATGATACTTTGTTGTCATTTTAATTGGTGTTTCTGTAATTGCTAGGGAAATTCTGTTTCCCCCTGTTTATATAACCCCAGGAGTTGAGGTCTGAGATGCCCTCGCGATGTCCCTGTTTCTCCCAGCAGGGCTCATGGTCAACCAACAGTATGTGCCCTCTTTTCGTGAACTGTCACCATCCATAGCATCAGTTGTCACACTGGTGCTCCTGTGACTCATTTGAGCTGCTGTGTTTCTTGAGTTCTCTATGGTCTAGTTTCTCTGTCTCCTTTACTTTCAAGCTGTCTCACTGCTCTTAGGGTGCCTGTCTGTGCATGGGTGCTAGGGATTGCTAAGACTGTGCCTAAACTGTGTATGGCTAGGGTCTGAGAGGGAAGACCTCCTGGGAGAGAAGGTCTTGTCATAGGCTTTTGTGTTTGGACTTGGTGACTCCTGTTGGGCTGATCGGGAGTCTTGGCTTCCTGCTCTTCGCTTTTCTCTAATAGGTTAGTAAGTTTGCCTGAAACTTAAATATAGGTAGTAGTGACACCTGCTCAGTTGAAATTTGCAGGTTTTGTGGATGGGTCTATGCCAGTCACACTGCCCCTCTCAGCACCTGTCGTCTGGTATGAGTCTTCCTCTTGCTTTCTGCCAAAGTGGCTACTACTAGGACATTTTAATATTATTAAATTAAAATTTTTTAAATTAAAATATTTTGAATATTTTAAAGCAAATCTCAGACACTGTGTCATTTTACATGTAAATACTTTAGCATGCATCTCTAACTGATGACAGTTTTTTAAAAAATGTGGCCATCATGTATTTATTACACCTGACAGAATAATCCAGCCAGGCCTTGGGTCCGTCAAGACTGTCTGTGCTTTCGTTCCTAGTGATATTTCCCAACAGACCCAAAGATATCTTTTTACAATGATTTTATTTGAATTAGCATCCAAGTAAGGCCCCTATACTGCGGTTGGTTCTTTTGTCTCTTATGCCTCTTTTATTCTATAGCAATTCTCCTTCCCCCTCTTTTTTGATGCTAGTGATTTGTTGGAAAAATTAGGTCATTTGTCCTGTTGACTGTATCACAGTCTAGATCTGGTTTAGTCTTTCCTTGTGGCATTATTTAACTCGTCCCTCTATCTCCAGTATTTTCTGTAAACTAGAAGTTAGGTCTAAATGAGAAAACCTTCCTATTGGTGCTATATAATATAATGTGAACCATATGTGCAGTTTTAGATTTTCTAGTAGCCACATTGAATAAGAAGTAAAAAGAAGCAGGTGAATTAATTTTAATAATATTTTAATTCAGTATATACAAAATATTATCATTTTAACATGCAATCAGTATAAAAATCATGAATGAGATATTTTACATTCTTTTTTTCATGTTACATCTTCAAAACCCAAAGTATAAGTATTTTATGCTTTTAGAACATCCTAATTCATTAGCAATGTGATCGTTAGAGTGAAATGCAATCTTACCAAAGCAATAAAGTTGTCATTAGAGGAAAATATTTTACATCACTTCGATTTTTGAATTAAAATGAAGTAAAATTTAAAATTCAGTTCCTCAGTCGCACTAGCCATATTTCAAATGCTCAGTAGCCACATGTGACTAGTGGTTGCCATATTGGACAGCATATGTAGAGAACATTTCCTTCACTGCAGGAAGTTCTGTTTGACAGAGCTAACAAGAAACTTAAGCAGATTTAGGTTCAGTTTTTTAAGTCATAATACTTCATAGGTGTGGCTGTGTACTCCTATTTTACCACATGAGGTACAATTCTATTTTTCATGACGCTAAGATTGATTAGTAGGTCCAGGTGTGCTTCTGGGCATTTTAAAAGAAAGGACAAAAGAAGATTTTGATGCTCTTTATTTAGAATGGTCTAGGTGGCAGGGAGTGATTTGCAAAAGTGGGACAGAAGCTATTCTGGCTGTACAAGAATCATCCTCAGATACTCAGTATGACATAGTGGTTGAATCCTGACTCTATTACTTGCTAGCTAATAGCAAGTAATAGCAAGTAATGACCTTGGCCAAGTCACTTAACCTCTCAGAGCTTCTGTTTCTTCAGCTGTGAAATAGAAAAATAATAGTACTTAGCTCATAGGGTATTGTGATGATTAAATGAGATAATGTACATACAGTATATATTATACAGAGCATTTAGTGAATATTAATTACCATTCGTATGTTGTTTTTATTGTAAAAGTACAGGTTACAAGGCCTTGCTACTAGAGAATCTAATTTGGTAGGGTCTGTGGTGGGACCTGGGAATCTGCATTTTAAATAAGTTCTCTAGGTGATCCGGAGTTCCTGAACCACCCAGTCCATATCCCTTCCTGAAATCTTTTCCTGGGGTGACCCTCAGCTCTGTCCCAGCCTCAGAAAAGTACATACTGGCTGGACATTCGTCAGAGGACAAACGCACCCATCAGTTGCCAGATTTAGCAAATAAAAATCTCCTAATTTATCTGGCAACCCTAAGTCCCTAATTCAGATAAAACTGTAAACTAGTATTTATAGGAGAGATTCTTTTTGCTCTGTGTGTCTCCATTCCTGTCACGTCAACCATAGGGTGCAAGAGTATGGTGTCTAAGGACAAAAGTAGTACTTTAGAGTTTTTAGAGATGAATATAATTAATCGGTCTTTATGTTTAAATTAGGGACCAGGCCTAGATTCTCTTGGGTCTTTGATGAGGCCATCTTTTATAAAATCAAAGAAAGGGGCTTTAGGAGCCATCTTGCTCAATCTGCTTGTTTTGCAGGTAAGGACACTGACGCCTGCCTGGGGTGGAGGAAGTGAGTTGTCCAAAGTCAGTGGCGGGGCTGGACTGGAACCTACATCTCCAGTTTCTGGCCCAGCTTATGTTCCTCTTTGTCATCCCACAGCACTTGTTTCTGTCCTCTGCTACCTCAGTCATATATGGGGGAGAGGTGACACCCACGGTCACTAGGGACCTGGGCCTAGAGTGTGAGCAGAGGCCCTTCTGCTGATATCCTGAGGATGGTTCCTGCCCTTGTGATCCAAAAGGATGAACACAGCCAACAGAAGCAAAGTCAGTTTCTGGTGCTGGTTGGACAAAGCCCCAAAGATGGGTGAAGGGATTCTGCCTCACAGGATGCCCGGGGGTCAGGTTCAGGAGCTGCACCCATTGGCCTGGCCTCATGACACATAGGGCTGACTGGGCACCTCCCGCCGGTGTTTTGCAGAGTTTCTGGAGGAGAGCTATTTGACTTCCTGGCCCAGAAGGAGTCGCTGAGTGAGGAGGAGGCCACCAGCTTCATTAAGCAGATTTTGGATGGGGTGAACTACCTTCACGCCAAGAAAATTGCTCACTTTGATCTCAAGGTCAGTGAAGGGGGTGAGGGAAAAAACTTGTTTAGGAAGAATGGGTCCAGTCTCTCCTGACATCATCGCCAGGAGGGGTCAACATCTATGTGGCCCTCTTTCCCCATCTTACAGTTGAAAACTTTGAGCTCCCGGGAAAGAAGCGATGACACAGAAATTGTCCACCTCCCCAGTTTCATTTCACATATAAGGTTTCCTTCAGACAGGGCTGACTGCAAGAAGCTTCTTAATCAGACCACAAGCATCTTCTCTCTTTCAGGAGCACATGGGTTGTAATTTTTAAATAAGTAGACCAATGCTAGGAAACTTAAAACCAAACACATTTCATAAGACTGAACTTTTCAGTAAGCAAGAGCTGAGCTGGCAGAGCTAGAAGCATTCAGAGAGGATGGCTGAGGTTGGCTGGCTCTTTGGACTGTGCACAGCACAGTCTCCAGCATCCCTTGACCAGAGCTTGTAAATCTTAGAGGCCAGGAGCCACTGGCTGCCCTCCCCCACCCCGCCCTTCAAACTACTTTTAAGGGCCACTGATCTTCAGGGTCGAGAAAGTTCACTGTGACCACATAGGACTTCATAAAGCAAGAGTGTGGTCATAGTAGAAGGATCAGTTCCCACAGTAACTGATAGACTGATCAGTTCCCACAGTAACTGCATAGACTGATGAGCCTCTACAGACACCCAAAGCATAAATACCCATGATCAGAGGGATCTGTTTACCAGGGAGGAGACCCACTCATTTTTTGATCCAGAAACTCCTGTTCTATTTTAAGAACTGTGCTGGGTTCCTGGGTATTGCTACAGATACAAAATCAATTGAGGCCCTACGCTTAAGTTCTTTTCCAGCAACTAGTACAGGAGACAGAATAGAGAGATCAACAACTCTTTAGTGCTGTGATAGAGGGAAGTATGTGGGGAGGTATGTGGTATCTAAGTCAGATTGGGGTATTTGAGAGAGCTTCCTGGAAGAGGTGGTATTTGAGTTGAGTTTCGAAGGATAAGCAGGCATTATCAGGAGGGAGGCCTTCCTAGGAAGACAAGCCAGCAGTGTATATGGTCCTAAAATAGCACAGTGCATTCAGGGATGTATAGCAAAGAGTGAATGCGCTAAATGGCTGAAAAAGAAGCTAGGCGGAGAGCAGGAGGCAGACACAGGGTACGGGAGCTAAGCTAAGGAGGTAGAACTTGACCCTGAGGGATAAGGGGGCCGGGTGATCAGGGAGGTGAGGTGAACAGATGTGTTTCAGAAGGACCTCTCTGGCTAGAAGGATGGATAGAATGGGAACAGCCTGGAGGCTGGGGCCGAGCTAGGAGGTGAATGCAGTAACCCAGGTAAGATGTGACAAGTGCCAAACTAATTTGAAGAGGGGACAGACTCAAGACCTATCACAGCGGTTGATCTGAGGATTGATCAGCTACTTAATTAGATGTGGGAGATGAAGGAAAGGGCAGAATCCATGATGATACCCAAGTTCTGGCTTGGGGACTGGTCCGAAAAGGGTATGGCATGCCCACAGTCTCACAGCAACTGCCCCAGGACTTGGGCTCAGTTCCCACACATGAATCTCATCCCTGCACTTACTCCGCATCATGGGGTGACCTGCTGTGTGTCCCCTCAGTATGGTCCTCCCTCTTTATGCCTATTGTCATTTCTTGCAGTATTTTGAATTCTTCCAGCAGAAGACGTCTTGAAGAGTTTGACTCAGGTGTCACAGCATAAAAGTCAGGGTCACCCAGGAGGGTGTGGCCTGGGCAAGCCTTTGGACCTGAGGGTGGTAATATACCCAGCAGGAAATGGTTTACCTGGATTGTACCTGTGTCTCCTTCCTGATAATACTATGGACAATTAACTTGTTTTCATGTCTTTGCTGGCTCTGAGAGACCAGCCTCAAAATGGGCTCCTTTGTTCTCCAGTGGGTCTGGTGGAGGTGTGAGGAGTTGTGGCGGCCCACAGGCCTCGTAACTAACTATAGCAGGTTTGTGCTGTTCGGTTTGCTTCTATGGCAGCTTGCTGTGGGGGCGGGGGGAGAGTGCTGGTAGGGAGTTAGCCAGGTCAGAGTTTGATCCTCACTCTACTGTGTGCCAGGATACAACTGAACCTCAGTTGTTTTTAGCACAAATAATAATACTTGCCTGGCAGAGTTGTTGTAAGGGTTAGAGAGAAGCAGCATGAAATGCTGAATACAGACTAGGTGCTCTGTAATAGTAGCTGGTGTTGTTATTTCCCTTCCCAGAATAGAGGAAAAGAAAACACAACTCTTGTTATACCATTTTGGGCCCCAATAGACCAGGGAAAAAAGCCTACTCGTGCAATTCTAAACTGCCCAGCAGAGAACTGAGGTTGGTTGTTAGGCGGGGTTGCTGGTGGGGGATTTTGTCTGGCTCCTGGGATCCAGGTGAATGTTTTCTACAATCTGGAGGCAGTCTGGGTTTCTCCTGGATGTGTATAGAGTGAGGATGCTGCTAACACCCACCCTGGCCTCATATCCTTAGAGGTGTGAGGGCACTGAGTCTTCTGGCTCTCCCGCCAGTGGGTCTCTTGGCCTGGGCCCAGCTGGACAACATCGGGAAGTGATGTGTAGCTGGAACTCAGCAGAATTACCTCATGATTGGGTAGATACTGCCTGCAGCCAGAATGTGTGTATGTGTGCCCCCTGACTGGAACTTTCTGCCAGCTGCAGGGGATCATGCAGAAGGTCCAGCAGGTAGCTTAGAGGGGGCTTCTTGGTTCCATGTTGTTTCCCATTAGAGAAAATTGATTTTAGATGAATACATTTTTATTCCTGGTTTTCATTCTCAATGAGGGGCTTCTGTTTTCTCCTCCTCTTGTATTCTGTTACTCCTTGGCAAGTGAGTCAGGCTTGCTGCCTCACGAAAACAGCCATCACATTGTCTCCACTCCCCTACCTATAATCTGTTCTCCACATTCACACTGAAGGAGCAGGTGATGGAGGAGGGTCAGCTCTCGGGCCTGTCTTTGGAATATGAATGACCTCTCCTACTATGCTCAGCCATTGTACTAGGGATGGTGAGGCTGTGTCTCTGCTTACAACATGCTCCAGGCCTTGTGGCAGAAGACAGATAAATGGACAAATTAAAGCCAATAAACAGTCTCGGTAAACAGGTCATAGCATGCTGTTGCCCAGAAATTGGTGATGGATCCTTGTCACCCATAGGATAAATGAACCCATTCTCGGCTTGGCATCCAGGCCTTTCTTACACTGCCTTAGCCTTGATTCTGGCCTTATTCACCTTTTCCGCATTTTTTTTTGCCCCAAGCAACAAGACCACAGATACTATTCTGGCCTCTCTCCTCCTCTATTCATGCTCTTCCCATCCAGGAAGCTGCTGCTTTTTTTTTTTTTTTTTTCTTCTTCCTCTGCCCATGGATTTCCTGCTCATCTTTTGAAGCCTAGCAGAAATGTCATTTCCTCTGAGAAGTCTTTCCCATTTCCGTCATACCTGAGAACTAACCCACCTCTCTGCTTCTGTTGCCCTTTGCACAGACTTCTGCTGAGAGCATTTATTACTGTGAATCACTTTCTGCTGCTTGTGTCTAGCACAGTGCCTGACACATGACAAGTTGCTCAGTGTCGAGAAAATGAGTAAATGAATTTTTTAATAAGACCGAATGCGTGAATGAATGGCAAAGGCCCTTTCATGTCACCTGGAAGATGCAAAAGACATTGCAGGCTTTCAATTCAATGATGAAACCATTTATTGAGGGACTATTTTATGCCAGAGGGTAGGGTGACAAGTATCAATGTGATATGGTACCTGGTTTCCAAGAGCCCACCGTCTCCTGGAGATAGCCATAGTGGAACTTGGTGGGGAGGCCACCTGAAATAAAAGCTAACCCAAGAAATGCTTACTTCCAAGGGGTAAGCTCTGTCTCCACCTCAGCAGAGTGAATATCATCCCGGTGTGTGGCGTAAATTCACTGCAGAAAGGCCTGCTGGTGTAGGTAGGCAGGCGTTGTGAAGGTGATGATGTTGCCTTGTATTTACATAGACAGAAGGGATATTGGGGCTGTCTGCCCCTCAGTACCGGGTAGCATCTGATGTACCTTCAGATATTCCTTCCACAGGGTGGGTTACCAGGAAATGGGGCTTAGTGCCACCCAGGAACCTCACCCTGGTATGTAATCCCAACACAAATAAAAACCTTATAGGGGGTGTTTTGTGTCATTTGTGTTTATTTTGGATGTGGGAGTTTCCTCTTTGAGTAAGGGTGTGTCCCCACCCTCCCCCACAGCTCTAACCTGATCCAACTTGAGAATTCAGAAATGGAAGGTAATCCTCAGGTCTGACTAGTACTTTAAACAAAAAGAATGAGACATGAGATTGAATGAAATCGTTTGCAAGCCAGGAACCCAGAACTTTGAAGGGACTTTTTGATCTATATAAACAGTGTTGAGAAGAGTGAATTCCTAAGCAAAATAGTCCAAAAAATCCAAAATCTTCTATGCTCTGATCATACTTTGAACTGTTCTTATGTTCATGATGTGATCAGGTCTGCTCATCAAGCTTTCATAAAAATGATACAAATATACTTTAAATGTATATGGTGCGTTCTAGAACACAGCATGCTTACATTTGTGCTTTCATTAGATCATCACGGCCACCCACTGAAGTGCAAGTTATGGTCACTTTTTTACATGCAAGGCATTTGAGATTCAGAGAGGCTAAATAACTTATCCAAGATCATGCAGGTATTAAATGATAGGGCTGGGACTTGAACTTAGTGAAGAAACATTAATTGAAGCTGGGCGTTAGCGTTTATTTCATCAGATTCTAACAGTGCAGATTTCTTGCTTCGTGGGTCATGCCTTTTACATAAAGTTAACCCAAAGGTCTGTACTGTGCCCTAAATTTATCCTTTGCACAGTTGATTCTCATCTGATTACATTGTTTTTTCTAATAAGTTATTCCTCATACTTAAATAAATCAATTTGTATTTAATTAATTGCTATAAAATGTGCATACATTTGAAATAGAATTTACAAGAATGGGACTATTTCCATACTAACACCTGGGGGGCCATGGATTGGAGGCGAGACTTGGCAGAGATTTAGGTTGGAGTGAAATTGTAAAGGTTCAGGGCAGACCGAGGAGTTCGTATACACAGTCACAGCCTCGGAAAGCTTTTTCCTTCAAAATATTTTATTATGAAAACATTTTAAAACAGCTGAAGAAATTGGAGAAGAATACAGTATACCCTTCCCCTAAATTCAATATTTGGTCACATTTGCTTCACCTCTTTCTGTCTTTCAAAACAAAAAATACCCATATATATTTATATAAAGAGCATTGTATATACACACACATATAATTTAAAAATGTTTTGGTATCATTTGAAAGAAAAGTGTAACCATCCTGACACTTCACTCTAAACACTTCAGTATATATATCTCGAGTTTAAGATCTGTCTTCTAACAACCCATAGTACCATTACCACACTTAAGAAAATTAACAATAATTTATAGAAGACCTTTAATTGGTGGAGAAACATGATTCAATTTCTGATTTAGAAAGAAAATTCCCCCAGTAGAGGGAAGAGTGGTTGGGAGAGAATAGGCCTGTTGGAGATTATGATAATAATGTGGGAAAAAGATGGACTAAAGTTACTCCACAAACATTTTTAAAAATGAAGTTGGTGGTCTTTTATGCTTTTATAAAAAATAATAATTCATAGAAAATACAAAAATGTACAAAGAAGTTATCCATAAATTTTCTACTCTAAAACAACTATTATCAATAATTTGTGTATTTCCTCTAGATTTTTCTGAACAGGTGTGTGTGTACGTGTGTGTGTGTGTGTGTGTGTGTGTGTGTGTGTGTGTGTGTGTGTTTTCAGGTGCTTATAAATATACTGCTTTCACAATTTTCTCTCCTGTTTTTTTCACTTTGTATTCTCACCCAAGGAGCCCATGTGTGCTCTGAAACATTTTACTTTGCTGTAGAAGCTTTTGTACAAGTCCTTGCAAGTGCTGGTTGTGAGTTTTAACTAGCCTCCCTGTTAGGCTACATTTCTTCCCATTCCTCTCCTGCCTCCAAAAGAATTTCAAAAGGGAGGTGGGCATGGAAACATCCAAAGGGAGAATGAATACAGTGGCATTTTCTAGCCAGCGGGCCAGGCGGATTCTCAGTGTGGCAGGACACTGTCAGGCTGATATGAGTTGGAGTAGATTGATCATGATCCCCATTTTACAGATGAGGAACCTCCTCTTTTGTTTTTATTGCCTTTGCCATCACCGATAGGTGCCCAGAGGCCTCCTGCTGCTCCCAGCTGCCCACAGCCCTCCACTCTGGACCCTAGCCAGACCTGACCAACATTGACGTATCGTGTTTTCAGACAGTACCTTTTTAAGTTCTATTCACAGCTCCACCATCAGCCCTCCCACTGCAGCTGATCTCAGTAGGAATGAAAAAATCTGATTCTGGAAGCTGTGAAGAGTGAGAGAAAATGCAGGTACTTTGACACTAAGAAGACCTGGGCTCAAACCTAATACCACCAGTTATTAGTTGTGTGGCCTTAAATAAGTTACTTAACTTCTCAGTTCCTCAGTTCCTTATCTGGAAAACATAGACAGTGACCTACTTTACTGAGGTTCTGTGCAGTGGTGTTCTGGTAATAGCCAGATCCCTGGAAAACAAATGTATCCCCACACACACTTATTATAAATTTTATGAGATGTTTATAACATAATTTACAAATAATAAAATATGTAATACTTTTTATTGTAAATTCCAGAGAGCCAATTGATTTTTATAGAAAACTTTCCTTGTTTTTTTGCCAAACTCTTATATCAGTAGCCAACCTGTGGATACAGTTGACAAGTGAGTGTAATTCCAACAAAAATGTTGGTTGATATTTTTGTTTACATTAATAAGTAGGTAAAAAATGTGAAACCATGAAGATGTGTGTTGGACTCTATTCATTTGCCAATGACATGAGTGACTTCTTTGCTGAATTGGATAATAGTTTCTGCATATTGAAAATATATTTCCTCAATTTTCTGTGCTATTCACAAAAAAATGGCTAAAGGCACAGCAACCTTTTAAGTTTAGTCTACGTTATTAAGTGATCGTCTCCAGCACTTCTTGAGTCTAGAATTAATAAGACAATAAATCAAGTCCTGATTTGTGGTGTCTGCTAGTTTCCATGGTGTAAATATACCCACTGTGGCCACTTTCTAGGTACCAACATGATGTCAATGACTGGAGCTGGGAAGAGGGGTGCAGAAGCAATTATTTCTGTATTTCTCCAGTCAGAAGATACTAAAATATAATTAAAAATTAGGAAGCGATAAGTTTTAAGTATTGTTTTAATATAATTTACTTAAGTATAAATTTATATAATTTAATTTTTAATATTAAATAATATTAGTACATAGTTCTTTGACAACTGGCTGGCAGAATTCCTGCAAATTGAACAGTCAGCTGTCATGAGCCAGCAGGCACCAGCTCCAGCTCATCCCTGCTTCTCTAAGACCCTGTAGGTGAAAGCATTTGTAAACAGGATAGTGCTATATGCAGGCTGACTGTTGTGGGCAGCAGTTGTATAACAATAATGGCAGCCAACATTCACTGAGCACCTAGTAACCATGCAGGCTCTTCTCTGACTGCCCTGCATGTGTTTACTCATTTTATCTACACAACAACCTTGTGAGGGGCGTTCCATGGTGGCGCCTGTCTTATAGAAGGAGGAGGCTGCTTGAGGGCTCCTAGGGCTTCATTGTGCCTCTTCAGTACCCATTACTATATTAATATTCCCATTTTCGCAGATGAGGAGCCAAGGCTCATAGAGATGGGTGCCTTGCCAAAGGGCAGAAATGGGATTCAAACCCAAGTCTATCCGATGACCTCTTTAGAGCTGGTTTCCCAAACACTGGGCCTGTCTGATTTTGACTTCTTTAGAAAACTTGCTTTACAAAACTAATTCTGGGGCCTCATTATAATCAATCTGGTATTTTTAACACCATCTCCAGGGGATTCTGATGGGCAACTAGCTTGGATGGGGGCACTGGCCATCCATAATTTGGGAGTTGTGAGGATCTAATAAGGTGACGTGGGGAGAGCCCACATGCTACTTGTGTGGCACATGCTAGTTGTGTGGCACAGACCATCAAGCCAGCATTGCCAATTGGCTCAAGGCTGGAAGCCCGTGGTCCTGGAATGGCCTTAGGGGAGTGAGAGGTCAGAGCCTCCCCTGGAGGAGGGAGGAGGTCATGAGTGAGTGGCCAGAGGGTTTGGTTTAACAAAGCCAGTGCAACTGATTTGAGGTCCTTCTCTAAGCCACAGCTGTGAGTTTTCTGGGAAAAACATGGAGCTGGGGCAGCAAGCTGATGAGGCACCAGGGCTGAGATGGAAATGCCCACTTGGGCAGCAGGCAGGGCTGATCCCAGTGGGCACCTTTGCCTCAACTGGAGGAAGAGAGGCAGTGTGGGAGGGGAGAGCATATGGATTTGGAGTCAGTCTGATCTTGACTCTCAGTTCCACTGCTTATTAGCTGAGACACCTTGGGAAAGTACTCAATCTCTCCGAGCCTCGGTTTAGTTATGTGTAAACTGGGGATGATGATAGTACCTGCTTCAGAGAGTGAGATTCACATGAGATGAGTGTGAATGCTTTACAAACTAAGTGCTATAGGTTTTGTTATATATGGAACCCTGGGCTGGATGCTTTTAGGAACACAGGAAGAGCATGAGAAGCAGGTCCTGGCCTCAGCAAGTACGCAATCTAGTGGTGCAGACAAGACTGACTCACAGAGTTCTTGGCAGAGTTGGTGCTGCAGGCAGAGATTCCTACTTAAATGAGGAGCTGAGAGAAGGAAGAAAGGTTGGGCTGAGTATTCAGATGATGCTTTCTGGAGGAGATAGAATTTTGGCTGGGCCTGGAAAGATGGGTAGGCAGATGATAAAATTAAGACTCTCATTCTGGGAAAGAGAGACATGATCAAGGAAATAATGAGAAATGATGATAATGGCTACAGGGCATTTTTATGCCTTGTTCGATCCCCTTAGTAACCTCTTAAGGTAAGTTTTATTATTTTTCCTAATTTATAAGAGAGAAACTGAGGCCAACTGAGGCTACGTGTCTCGCGCAGTGTTAGACTGTTGGTAAATGGCAAAAGTAAATTCGAACCCAGGTTCTAAGTCTCTGAGCCATTATCT